TGATCCCACAAGAGAAGAGGATCTAGGAATATGGCATGAGAGACTTGGGCATGCTCCAGACAAAGTGGTGAAACAAATTCCAAACATGAAGTTCAAGACCAACAATGATAGAATAAGGAATTACACAATCTGTCCTCTAGCTAGATAAGGAAGTTTGCCTTTCCCAAAGAGTACAAGTAGATCAAATAAACCTTTTGAGATGATTCATGTAGATGTATGGGGTCCATATATATAGAGTGGCAAGTCACAATGGATACAAATCTTTTACTATAGTAGATGATTATAGTAGGATGATATGGGTTTACTTGTTAAGACTCAAGAGTGATGTGATTGTATGCTTGAAACAGTTTTTTGCCTTAATAAAAAATCAATTTGGTGGAGCAGTCAAAATTTTGAGAAGAGACAATGGAACTGAATTTTTCAATTATAAATGCAGTAGCTTATTTCAATTGCATGGAGTGATTCACCAAAGTTCTTGTGTCCACACCCCCACAACAGAATGAGGTGGTGGAAAGGAAACATAGACATATACTTAAAGTAGCTAGGGCAATTAGATTGCAAAGTCATTTATCTCTCAAGTTCTGGGGAGAATGTGTGCATGCAGTAATCTATATTATCAATAGACTTCCTTTATCAGTGCTATCACGAAAGTCCTCATTTGAGATGATATATGGGAGAGCACCATCTTCACAACATATGAGGACCATAGGATGTCTGTGTTTTGCAAACTTCTTGTAGGAGGAGATAAATTTGCAGCAAGGGCTATTGGAGCTGTTCTCATGGGATATTCTTCATCTCAGAAAGGATATAGGCTATATTATCTCTTGACTAACACCTTTTTTGTAAGCAGGAATGTGAAGTTCATGGAGAACATATTTCCTTTTCAGCTCTTAAAGGAAGGAAAGCTGCAGGTTTTTCCCAATGAAGTGATCGAACCTGACACTAGTGATGACACACCTAGACCAAGTCCTCCATCTGAAGATGCAAGTCCTCCATCTACATTCCCTCATGAGGCAACACTTGCTGCAGAAACACCATCTTCTTTATCATCACCAGTCCTTGAAGATGCACAACAGCCACAGTAGCTAGGAGAAATACCCTCAGAAGCAGTTCTACCTTCCTATCCAGAAGATCAACCTACGAAATCAAGTAGGTCTGTGAAGGAACCTGTCTGGATGTAGGACTATGTGTGCAATGGATCATTTACAAGCTCAACTTCCAAACCTTCTTGCAAGTATCCAATGCAAGACTACTTGAGCCATGATGGTGTCTCGACCAAGTACAGATCTTATCTTTCCAAAATCACCAGCTTGAGGGAGCCTATGAGCTATGAGGAAGCAACAGCAGACCCTAAATGGGTTGAAGCCATGGCCCAAGAGTTGACTTCCCTCAAAGAAAATGGAACCTGGTCCTTAGTAGATTCGACAACAGGGAAAGTTCATATTGGCTGCAAATGGGTATTCAAGATAAAATACAGAGCCTATGGGGAGGTGGAGAGATACAAAGCTCGATTGGTTGCAAAAGGTCATAATTAGATTCAAGGTCTTGACTACCAGGAGACCTTCTCTCCTGTAGTCAAAATGGTAACATTCAGAGTGGTTCTAGCCTTAGCAACATCTCACTATTGGAATTTGCATCAGATGGATGTATACAATGCATTTCTTCAAGGCGAGCTCACTGAAGAAGTGTACATGTACTTGCCTCAGGGATTTCACAGCCAGGGGGAGAAAGTCTGTAGGCTGCATAAATCCCTTTATGGATTGAAGCAGGCTTCAAAACAGTGGAAATTGAAATTGACTTAAGCCTTGATCAATTCAGGAATTGTGCAGACCAGTTTTGTTTATTCTTTGTTTAAAAAGAAGTAAGGGACCAATCTAGTAATCATTTTGGTATATGTGGATGATCTCCTCATAACTGGGAATGATCATTGCCTAATTTCAAAGGCAAAGTCTAGATTGCAGTGCAACTTCAAGATCAAAGACTTAGGGGAGCTGAAATTCTTTCTTGGAATTGAAATAGCAAGATCAAGAGAAGGAATACTGATGAATCAACGAAAGTTTGTAATGGAATTGATCACTAACCTTGGACTGGCAGGATCAAAGCCAGTGGTCAACCTAAAGGAATGCAATCAGAGGTTCACCACTGTGGAATATGATCAATACATGGATCTGAAAGATGATACCAAGCTGCCAGATGCAGGACCATACCAGAGACTAGTTGGGAAGCTGTTGTACCTCACCATGACAAGGCCAAATATTTGTTATGCAGTGCATGTTCTGAGTCAATTCATGCATTGCCCAAAGAATTCACACATGGAGCCTGCAATAAGAGTTGTAAGATATATATAAAAGGGGCTCCAGGTTTAGGATAGCTAATGAGCTCAAAACAGTCCCCAAAACTCACAACATTTTGTGATGCTGACTGGGCATCATGTCCAGTGTCCAGAAGGTCTGTGATAGAATATGTGATGAAGCTCGGAAACTCCTTGGTATCTTGGAAGTCAAAGAAGCAGTGCACGATATCAAGAAGATCTGCGGAAGCTGAGTACAGGAGCATGGCTACTGCAGTATCAGAATTCCTATGGTTATCAGGGTTGTGCAAAGAACTAGGTGTAGATGTTGAATTGCCAGTGGAGCTACATTGTGATAGCAAAGCAACAATCCAAATTGCTGCAAATCCCATATTCTATAAACGAACAAAACATATAGAAATAAACTTGCACTTTATCAGAGAAAAGATTCTGCAAGTTAGTTGTTAAAACAAGTATGTGATTTCAAGGGATCAAGAAGCAGACTTGTTTACAAAGGCTCTAGGAAGATCACAACATGATTACCTAATGATCAAGCTAGGGGTGCTCAACCTATTTGCACCATCTAGCTTGAGGGGGAGTGTTAAAGAAAGGAACGATCATGTGCCAGTCACGTGAGTGGAGATTAAGTTGGTTAAGTAGGTTATTAGTTAGTTATAACTAATTACAGGATTGGTCAGTGTAGTGAGGAGATATAGCTGTAGATTATACTAATTGTAGAGTATATATATACATGATTTGCTCATTGTACTCTTAAGATTTGTCATAATACAATTTAGATTTCTCTCAAATGGAGAACACTCTCTAGAACCTTCTCGTTTATTACTATCATCTTCATCCTCACAGAAACTCTCTCAAATCTTCCTTAAAAATGTTGCTAGGCTAGCGCGGCTCGCTTCGCTCTTCAAGATCCGCCCCAAGTTACCCTAAGACTATGTTATGGCGAACTGGGAAAACCACTTGACTGTATGGAGAGGAGCTCCGCCCCTACTTCAATTAAAGCTCCCCCCCCCCCTCCCCCCTTTTTTCCCTCTAAAGCCTCTCACTTCACTCATTTTTGAGTCTCACTACGTACTCCAACTCTATGTATTAATTATGAAGACGTCCTTCATGGGTCTAGGAGTTCATACGAATAATGGCTAGCGGGATCTTGCATTCAATCGGAGTTGCCTTAGTCGAAGGGGAAGGAGAGCAGCTAATTCTAGGGATGCCCATATGTCCACATCAAAAGGAAAGGAATCAGCCAGTCCGGCAGCAATAGAGGATTTCTGGTAGGAGAAAATTTCTTGGTAGAAAATACTTTACTCTAAGTTTCTATAGTTTTTTGCTAGAGGCCCCTTTTTTCATTTTTCTTTTGCTTTCTGTCTGAATCCTCCGTCGCTTCAATCTTCATTCATTATCTTCCTTGTCCACAGCAGGTTGTATTATCTTCAGAAGTTGATATTACAAATTAAAGTTATATTAAAAACTAGTAATTCTCCTTAAAAATTGGAAAGTTTAATTATATATGATATTAGAAAGAAAATGCGTCCGTTAATTTAGTTAGTGGAGGACAAAATTGCTTCGACTTTGCCATAAAATTGAAATGCTTTACGCGGATTTATCTTCTTTTTTTAATCGTTTCTTAAATACATTATACACTTCTCTTAGACTTGATTTCTCTTTAAATATATAGGATCATCATAAAGAAAAAAAGGCTAAATTTGTTGCTTTGATTCTTTTTGCATTTCTCCTAGCCGAGAAAATAATATTGAAAAATAAGATTATATGATAATCGAAAAAATAATATTGAGCTAGCATTGAAGGCAAGATAAAGGACCAATGAATTCCTAACGAGTGTAAGTACTAAAAAAAAAAAGAAATGCTATATATAGCAAAATATATAGCAAAACATCACTCCTCCTCTAAATGGTTACGTTTTACACTTATCCCCTTCCACTAGTTGATACAGAAAATACTCAGAGTCAAATTTATAAATGGAAAATTCAATAATGAATTCAGAAGAAAGACCATTCAGAAAATTCTTTTTCGACGAAACTATTTCTCAAGCCATCATGTCTTGCTTGCGTTGAGCTCAAGGAGAACTTAATTTTACATCAAAGGCTAAGGAAAGGGAAAGCCCATAGAAAAGGAATAAATTAGTACTACTATATTATACAATTTAATTTTAGCAAATTATTTTTCAGGTATGTATTTGATTTTCTAATATGCAATTATCTTGCAATTGACATGGGAGTAAAAATTATTTCATCACTGCAGCATATACAAGTTAATTTTCTTACATAAAAAGTATAAAACGAAAATCGAGGCGCTTACAATCACCATGCTTTGCTTGCAGAAAAAGCAAGCAAGCAAACATGAAAGCTGGCAGAAAATATGAAGGTGATGATATCAGAGTTATTGGATTTTTTCTTGACACATCTCATCACACTTCATGTATTCGTGCATATATATTAGATTGGATTCATCCATTTTACTTATCAATCTATATCATCAATAAAAAGAAATTAAACTGAAAAAAACGCATTTATATTATAATAGTAATATGTTTGTTTCATTTCATGATGAAATGGAACATAGTACACAAAGACTAGTCCTTAGATTTTTGTAATAACTAATGTCCTTTCAAGGAACATACTAACTACGTACTCGATCCAAACAGTAACTAAAAACCCTATTACTTCTACTTTTCTTTTTTCTTCAAAAGACGATCAAACAAAACACAATAGAAACTGACAGCTACCCATTTCTCTTCCACATCAACCGATCTTCTAAATCTGCATTCAAACATGAAAACAAAAACAAATAATTTGACATATATCTTACAAGTCTTTACTCTAAAAACAATAATGCACTAAAAAATATCTTTGAATTAGTACCAAATCAATAGTGTTTGATGGAGTTGACGTACGAAGCAAGTAGTAGAATGCACCATGCTGGAGTGGCTGAAGGGTTAGACCCCATTCATTAGTAATGAGAGGTTCACCGGAGGAATGAACGAGAACCGCATCATCACCAAATACTTCCCTTACATTGAAGGCTCCCAACCCAACCTCAAAAGCAACATCGTTGATAAACACCGTTGATCTTGTGGGACCCGCATCGGCTGGCTCCACCAACCCTGCAACCACACGTACGCAATCATGAGATAGATCACTCTGAGTAGTTCAAAGTTGTATGCTTATTAATGGAACCAATGCAGTAGTCAATATGATCTCCCCCATCCGTGCGAAACGTTTGGCCACAAATATTAGACAGGAGATCAGAAAATGGGGGCCAAAGGACAAATCTATCCTTGTCTTATTCAGTAACAATGACAAACATAGCCATAAACATAACGTATAAGAAGATGTAAAAAAGTACTTTTTGGCACTGTAGAAACTGTAAAAGTGAACATGCATCAATCACTTCCATGAAATGCCAGTAGAAGCTAAGCTAGCTGCTTTTACTTTGCATAAATGCTTAAATTTCGTATGAATAGGGACAAACATTTATTCTCATTCTTAGTTCTGGGCTATGGGGAAAAATGAGCTAGTGACTTTATATCTCCTCTTTTGTCATGAAGTTGAAAGATCTTAAAGTGCACATTCATACTAGATATAGCATAATTTGGACCGAGTAGCCCACCACCTACTCAACATCCGATAAAAACAAGTATGAGTAGTAAAGAATATAACACTTCAATAGCTTAAATGTCCCTCCTCTACTCTATTCCCTACCCGCAACCTAGACATACAAAGCAAAGTAAAATGGTACTTTCTTCCCATATGACGGTGTTAATTTTTGACACATATATATCAAAATATCTTAAAACTTGTGGTTTTTAATGGTCATAACGTTTTTTTTACTACTAGAGTTGGACATTTCTAGTGTAGGGTCATACTTTTCGGAATGAGATATAAAAAGAAAGAGATGGAGTAAAAGGTTTACCTTGAATGTGACTGATGGTTGGGATAGTGGAAGAAGTAAGAGGAAAAACAGTACTATGAGTGTTAGTTGGAGCTGAAGTAACAGCGTAATTCAGCTGTGACTGCAAATTGATCTTCTCATCTTCATCTTTTTTTGAAGGTGTTTGACTTATCCCCATCCATTCACTCAGAAAAAGATGACCAGAAGAGTCTGACGCATGAGAAAAACCAGTTGAGTCAGGGATGCAAAACCCTTGTGTGATAGCAGCAGGAGAATGAGTTGGTGTTGGTGGTTGCACTGTGAAAAAGAAGGGTTCAGTACTCAAAAACTCATTGTTAGCACTCTGGAAATTATAGTTTTGTTGTTGTTGTTGGTTGACTGAAGCAGTAGGGGAATTCAGCAAGTCCATCACATTAGCAGAACCAATTGAGAATGTTAAAGAAGACTTGTGATGACCAGTAGAATTCGGGGAGGATTTTTCAGAGGATGAAGAAGAAGAAGTTGGTGCAGTAATGGCTACATGGGAATTAGTGATATTATTATGATTTTGTTGAGCTTTGTTTTGAAGGTGGCGCTGCTTGTGTTTGCTTCTTGATTTTCTGTTTTGGAACCAGTAGAAAACATTGGCATCACCAACTTGGCCATATTCTTGAAGTTTGGCTCGGATCTTTCTTATCTCATCCCTTGGAGGATTCACCATTCCTGAATTGAAGATTGCTTCAAGTATGCGTATTTGCTCTGGTCTTGGATTCCATCTTGGCTTTGGCTCTGGACTTCTCTCTTCACATCCTCCTCCTACTTAAACCAACAAACAAGAACCATATATCCCATTAGAAAAGAAACTCAAAAAATTGACAGAATTATATATAGGGAAAATGTAAGTTAATTAGTACCTGGATTGCATGGGGCTCTTTGAATGAGAGAAGAGTTGATGTCATGCTGCCATTGGTTGCAGGGTTTGGACTTAAACATGCTAGGCCAGTGTCTATTTGATGAAGCCATGATTGAGAAAAATGACTCTGATAGGAGAAGATGATGAACAAAAACAAAACAAAAACTTCTTGCTTGCTAGCTTTGCTGTTGTAGTACTCTATGCAACCCTAGCACCTCTTTTTATAGCCTCCAAACTTGCTCCTGTTTTTAAATAAAATTTTCAGTTAAAATTAAAGAAAAAGCAAATTATAGAAATAAAAAAGACAAAACCCACAACAGGAATCGCCTGCTAAATGATAAACAAAAATAGAAATACAAATTAAATGTAAAGTGAAGATAGAGAAGGTACAGGCCCATACCCCCTTAGCTAGCTAGCTTGTTTACAATTCTTTTTAACTATTCAGACTGAAATACTTGTTCACTACTCAAAGACCAATTAGTTCAACCCTTGAAGAGAAGCAAAGAGAACATTGAAAGTAGCACATGCTGGGTCTTATATTAGAATCTTCATCAGAGTGAAGACAGTGAAAGCTCTTAATGCAAGAAAATTTAAAACAAAAAATAAAAATTGTGGGGTTGCTTCTGAATTCTGATGAGATTGTCTCTTTGTTTTACATATTTTGAGTTTTCATGTTTTGTATGGGTAAGGGGTTCTCTTTTCTTTCTAACTTTGGGGTTTGTATGGAGAAGGGAGTATTAATGGAGAGAGGTTGAAAGGTGTGGATATAAGGGTTTGATTATTCTAATGGGAAGAGGTTGTTGCAGTTATAAATAGGGGAGAAAGCTATGGTGGGGGTGGGGGGGAGGGGGTGGGGGTGGGGGTGGGTTTTCAAAGTCAAGATAATGTAATTGTAGTTTTTTTTTTTAGAAAACGGTGGAACAGAAGTAATTGCTCTTTGTAGATTTGAATGTTTTGGCCAAGCTTTGGATTGACTCGAGGGTCATTTTATTACTACAAACACATTTCAAGATTTTTGATTAAATGAAGGAAATAATTTCATTCATTTTCTTTCTTTTTTGAAATGTAGGAGATATATAAATTCTTTTTTTTTTGTTAGAAAAGAAAAGCATGTAATTTGAATCAAAATTTTAAAAACCTCCTGCTCTGAAGCAAGAACAATTTCAAAATTTTAATTTCACCATTTCAATTCTCCGATTATTTGTTAGCTGTGTAGTTAATTAAGTACTATGTTAGTTCGAGACCATTATTAGTCAAAGCTTCATTTTCCTTTTTGTTCACTAGCGGCACACTAACTTAAGTGAAAACACTTGTTCTAATTGGTTCGTAATGTTTCATTGTTTAAATTGGAACCCTTTCACATTTTGCTTGGGAAAATTTTAACTGTGTATTCACACTAATACAATTTGTCCCCTATGCTCTTTTAAACTTTCATCTTAAGTTTTTGACTGCAAATCAGAGACGGAGCAATTTTCTCCACTCTCCAAAAGAAGCGCTACTTTTACAATGTTCCCAACCCTCTTGTTAATTATTATCTCAGGGAACACAAAAACTTCATGAATTTGTTACTACTATAATTAATTATACTCTTATTAGCCAGGAGCTATTGAAGCTATATCATGTTGGTATGTGAAAATTGTGAGAGTAATCTTACCTCCTGTTTGACCATAGAATATGGATATTTTTTATTTCAAAAAATAGTTAAAAATATTATTTGTTCATGTAATATGATCGGTCCGTGAAAAAGGAATTTAATTTTTTTTCTTCCACTCATAAAACTTTAACTTTTCGTCAAATAAAATACATGTCTAAACACAACTTCAATTACCAAAAACTACTTTTCAACACAACTTCAAAAATACTTTTTTCAAATTTCAACCAAATTTGTGTCCAAACGCTAGCTTAAATTCTGTTGTAAAATAGGAAGAGACTTTTTCCTTCCTATACCGTATATGAAACCTTATTACCAAAAATGTGCATAGTTTCATATTTACCCACCATGTTCACAGTTTTTCTACAATTATTATACCATTCATTAAATACTAATTATTAGGAGCTGATTCCTTCCTAATTAGGCGCGCTACAAATCAGGAACAGAATATTCTAATTGATTTAGCGACCTTCAGATCAAATTTGAAACGCAAATCCTATATCTTCAATTTAAAATCAAATTACATAGACTCTTTTCTGCAAAAACTCTGTTTTTCGATATTTTTCCTTAAGCCAGAAATAAAAAAAGACAAAATCGTCAACAAATTCGAATCAAATTGTAGAAATCAGTTCTGCAAAAGCTCAGTTCGTCGACATTATCTCTACATCTCTCTCTATTTCTCAATCGCAAATTTCAGTAATACAAAGCAAATGAAAAGAGAGCAGCAATTCCACCATTGACAGCCATTAAAAAGCTTGAAAGCTTTGAATTCAAATTTGGGTTTTCAAAAATCATTATTTGTTTGGATTGGGTGTTGTTGAAAATAATCGGGAATATGGTTTGGAGTTTATATCTCAATTTTGAGGGGTTTTGGTGAAGATTAGACTTGGTTTTGACAGAATTTCAGATTGAAACTCGAAGAAGAAGAAGAAGACGACATATTGCAGAAATTGTAGATAAATTGTAGATAAATTGTAGATGCTTTATTTTCTGTTTTCACAAATAAAAAATGGCTAAAACTTCTACAAATCTTCTGAAAAAACGCAATTATGTCAAAAATCACAATTATGCTACAATTGAATGGGAATTGGGATATAAAAATTCAATGTACCCAGTTTGTTGATATTTTGTAGATAAATTGTAGATTATTTGTATTCTAATTGTAGATGCTTTGTTGTCTGTTTTCACAAATCAAAAACGACTAAAACTTCTACAAATATTCTGCAAAAATGCAATTATGTCGAAAATCCCAATTAAACTACAATTGAATGGGAATTGGGATATTAAAATTCAATGTGCCCAGTTTGTAGATATTTTGTAGATAAATTGTAGATTATTTATATTCTGATTGTAGATGCTTTATTTTCTGTTTTCACAAATCAAAAACGACTAAAACTTCTACACTAATTACTTGATCGCGAAAAGAAATTAGACGTATGCCATTCATTATTCTTTTCGAAACCCATTTTGAAGATACAAATTACCTAATTTATTTTTGAAGATCATTAAGCTCGACCAGTTACTTGATATCGCTTTCTGCAAATTTCTGTAAGGTACGTACTTTGTCGATACATTTTTGGAAGGACCAAGAAAAGAGTTCCTCTGAAGACAAATAAGAACTAAAGAATTTCTCTGAAATATAATTTTAGTTACATGATTCTTTTTATGTTTAATAACAATACATAAACGTGGGTGAGGCTGAGGGTTTGGGAGAGAGAAACGTGGGAGGGGTGGGATACACGGTACCTTGAATTAAGGAGGGATATACGCTGCATTAATTGTACCCTTAAAATACACTATGGTATAGAATTGGTAATTTGGTATACTAAGTGTAATTAAGTCAAACCTTAAACGTTGAGGGTAATAAGGTTTCCTATGTGGCATAGGAATGTAAAAATTCCAAATAAGAACCACAACAAGGCAATGGAAGTTAGTACCTAAGAGCCTGTTTGGCCAAACTTCTAAGAGGCGAAAAATACTTTTTTGTGAAAAAAAGTACTCTTTTAGAAATTTAATGTGTTTGGCCAAGATGCAGAAGTGCTTTTGCATAACAACAAAATTAGTTTTTCTACTTTTTGAAAGAAGCTACAAATGCTATCTTTTTCAAAGAAGAAAAAATAAAAAATTAATTTTTTTCAGACAAAAGTATCCTTACTACTTTATTTATATTTTCTAAATTATCCTTCATTAATTTAACTTTTTCTATTCTCTTTTTGTTTCTACCATTCCTTTTTTCTCTTTTATCTATTTTGTTTTCATCATATTTTTATTCTCCTTCTCCTATTCCTCTTTGAAATAGTTTCTCTAACATATATTGAAACGACCCAATCGGTCGTTTTGAGAACTAGCGTCCCGCTTAGTGGCTTAAGGTCTCGAGAAGCTTTGGATCATGTATTATGACTTACGTGTGTGGTCGAGTTGGTTTTCGGATGATTCGGGATTGATTTGGAAGGATGATTCTTGCTTTAGGAGCGGTAAGAGTTGACCGAAGTTTGGAACTTGCATGCAAAATTTGACGCCATTCGGTTCAATTTAATATGATTCGGTGCGAGTTGTAGAAGCTGAAAGTTCATAAGTTCATTTAGTTCGATTTGAGGTGCGATTCGTAGTTTTGGTGTTGTTTGATGTGATTAGACGCTTCGAGCAGGCCCGCGTTATGTCATGAAACGTATTGGTATGTTTCGACGGGGTCCCGGGAGCCTCGGGTATGTTTCGGATGGGTTACGGGCTATTTCTCCATGTTTTTGGACTATTGATTTGCTGCCGTGCCTATTGTTCTTCGCGATTGCGAAGATGAAGATGTGATCGTGAAATGTTTCTTGGAGCTCAGGGATTTTGTTCATCGCGGACGCGGTCATGGGAACGCGTTCGCGATGCTTTAGTTGTCTGTTCTCCGCGTTCACACCTGTCTGTTCGCGTCCGCGGTAGTGGAGCCGGGAGCTAGTGAACTTATACTCATCACGTTCGCGATTGGCTATACGCGTTCGCGAAGCCTTTGGTCATTGTTCATCGTGTTCGCGAGGTGTGTGCCGCGAACACGAAGCTTTGGTTTTACTAGGCAATATTTTTTTCTTCGTGATCGCAAGGATGGTTCCGGGATCGCATAAAAGCAATCACTGGACAAAATACAAGTACTCTATTTCGAGGGATTTTGATAATTTATCACTTTTGAGTTAGAGGGCTCGGATTTGGGCGATTTTAGAGGGGATTTGCACGTGTTGGTTTGGGGTAAGTGTTATTTATCCGTATTTGATTATATTTCGTGATTCCATATTTGTTTTTAACATTAAATTAGTGATTTGAATGGGAAAAATAATTTTTTTGTATAAACTTTTATAGATGTAAAATTAGAATTTGAAGGCCAATTTGATGTCGGAATTGGATTATTTTGATATGGATGGTCTCATATCGGAATGAGGGTTCAGATTTTGTGAATTTTGTCGATTTTCGAGGTGCATGCTCGGGGTTGACTTTTTTCGTTAACCTTTTAGTTTTCTTAATGATCAAAGCTTTATTATCTGGAATTGTTTCCTATGGTTTTTATTTATGATATGAAGCTATTTTGGCTAGATTTGAGTCGCCCGGAGGTCGTTTCACACGAGAAGTTCATTTTAGAGTATCGGTTTAGCTTCTTTGAGGTAAGTATCTTGCTTAACTTTTTGTGGGGGAACTACCGCTTAGGATTTCAGTCATTTGTGATATTTTTGTGTCATGTGAAAGCCGTGTACACGAGGTGACGAGTGTGTACACGAGCTTATGCGTGGTATTTGACCATTGTAGACTCCTAGACTTCTTTTTATGCATTTAATTGTATTTGTCACAACATGTTATATCTTTCTTATTGAATTTGTTCTTACGTGCCTTACTTGAAGTATTTAGTACATGTTCCATCCTTTACTGTCAAGTTTACTCCTTATCTGCTTAAATTGTTAATGTCAATTACTTGTTGAATTTATGCCTTATCTATTACGTACCTTAATTGTTAATTGTTTCTTTGTAATTGTACCTTTATTCATGAACTGTCACTACTTGCTATTTGACTTTATGAGTTATTGCGTAACTTCTTCATCCGTTGTGACTTCTTTGTGTAGCTTCGTTATTGCATTG